CCCCCCCCCAGCGCCCCGGGCCCGCCCGCCCGCAGACCCGGACCGCCCCGCGCTCCGTGGCCCGCCCGTCAGCGCCGCGTCGCACCCGGGCCTCGGCTCCGGCCGCTGGGCTGCGCTCGGCTCGCCTGGGGAGCCAGGGAGGCGGCGGGCGGCCCGGAGCAGAGTCCACGTGTCACACTCGGGGAAGTGCCTCCGCGACTAATAGTTTCTTAAAACACGGTAGAAATGCTTTGTATGTGTTCTGGTTCTCCCATTCTATTTACATTAAACAAAACTACCAATTCTTTTTTTTTTTTTAATGTTTTATTTATTTCTAGGAGAGAGAGAGACAGCGTGAGCAGGGGAAGGTCAGAGAGAGAGGGAGTCACAGACTGAAACAGGCTCCAGGCTCCGAGCTGGCAGTCAGCACAGAGCCTGACGCGGGGCTCGAACCCACGAACCGTGAGATCATGACCTAAGCGAAAGTCGGACGCTTAACCGACTAAGCCACCCAGGCGCCCCAAAAATACTACCAATTCTTATTTGAGTGCGATTTTAAAATTGTAGCATCGGTTTTTTTTTGTTAATAGAGAATACTTAGATGTTATAACATTATAAATGTCAGTTATAAAATCAGATCCAGGGGGCGCCTGGTGGCTCAGTGGCTGAAGCGTCAGGCTTTAGCTCAGGTCATGAGCTCATGGCCCCTGAGTTCCAGCCCCGCATCGGGCTCTGTGCTGACAGCTCAGAGCCTGGAACCCGCTTCGGATTTTGTGTCTCCCTGTCTCTCTGCCCCTCCCCCGCTCATGCTCTTATCTCTGTCTCTCAAAAATAAACATTACAAAAATTAAAAAAAAAATCAGATCCAGTATAAGCAAGTTGACCTTACAAATAATTTTTCAGTTTACATATATTGCTCTTTAATGCTTCACTATTTCTCAGGGTCCCTCATGAGTTTAAATGTTGTATAAAACCTAAAATGTAATATTTTCTGTTGTTCCTCTGTATAAGCAGTACCCAGCACCTCATTTTTATAAGACACATGTAAAATTTAGTTTGGCAATGGTTACTTATATATTCTCACTAAATTATTCTTTTTTTATAGAAATGGAATGCAAGATTCCTGAAATAGAAAAATACTTAGTTACTGAGCCCAAAAAAGACAAATACAAAATCGGAGACGTGTTGAAATTCTTCTGCAGACAAAGACTTAAAAGAGTTGGACCAGATTCAGCTCAGTGTTACGAATTTGGATGGTCCCCTCATCTTCCAACATGTAAAGGTGAATATTTATCTTCCAATGGCTAAAACAAGAATTAGGATTTGGATATCAATTTTTTTTTCCACTCTTAATTTTCTGTTGGCTTCAAGTGCGTGTCTGTAATCTAATGCATTAAACCAAGACATGGGCTGGGTAATAGGTATCTTAGATTTTTTATTTATGAAATAAATCTTGGGGCGCCTGGGTGGCTCAGTAATTTAAGCATCTGACTTTGGCTCAGGTAATGATCTCACGATTCATGTGTTCAAGTCCCACATCAAGCTCTGTGCGGACAGCTCAAAGCCTGAAGCCTTCTTCTATGTCTTCTTCTCTCTCTGCCCCTCCCCAGCCCATTCTCTCTCTCTCAAAAATAAATAAACAAACAAACAAAAAAGAAATCTTCAATTGTTTCTTGATACATGTAGTGTGGTATCCATAGATACAGATATGATGTCTTACACGTTTGTTACTTTTCTTTTTGCCTATACTTCCACCATTAATATTGAAACTTCATAGCATGGGCTTTACTTCAAGTTTCATTGGGTGTCTAAACAATATTCAAGCAATTTATAGTCAATTCAGAGAATTTAATCACATGTAAGTCTTCATCAAAGTTAAAATGTGTTGATAAAATGCTTGCCTCAAATGATGGCATTTTTCAAACAGTTTTGATAAAATGTTACCACGGAATATGAGTATTGCTATATAATTTACACAACCATATTGAGTAATTGGTTTACACACATCTTTAGAATCTAGATTATTAAACATGTTTTCTGGGTTTCAATATACTTCCATTATACTAGTTCAGTGTGAGTAATAGAACTGGGTTAGGGTGCCTTGGTGGCCCAGTTGTTGAGCATTTCACTATGCAGTTCATCTCAGGTCATGATCCCTGGGTCATGGGATCAAGCCCGATGTTGGGCTCCACACTGAGCATAGGGTCTGCTTAAGATTCTCTCTCTCTCTCTCTCTCTCTCTCTCTCTCTGCCCATCTCCCCCACTCATAGTTTCTCTCTCTCTAAAGTAAAATTTTTTTAAAAAAGACCTGGGAAACATATTTCTGATGTAAGCACTGTTTTTCATTGATTCAGGAGGCTATAATCTCCTTCATTTTATGAGTTTTTAACTTGTGAAATAGATAATTAGATCCTTATTAACACAATATTTCTCCTCTAGAGCAAATAAAACGGTGTTCTCCACCTCCTCAACTCCTTAATGGGAAAGTTAAAGAAATACAGAGAGAAAACTGTGAACCCAATGCATTGGTGGAATATGTGTGCAATCCTAGATTTCTGTTGAAGGGTTTTAATAAAATTCAGTGTGTTGATGGACAATGGACAGACTTACCGATTTGTATTGGTGATGTATAAAAATATTAAAATTTAAATAAAGCAACCTTTTGTATTTATATAAGCATACAAATTGTATTTTATAAATAAGCATATTTTTCTGAACTTTTCACAGAGGTGGAGAGTACATGTGGAGAGATACCTGAACTTGAATATGGGTACGCTGTTGAGACTTCTAACCCTCCCTATCACCATGGAGATTCAGTGGAGTTCAGTTGCAGAGAAGAATTCACAATGATTGGAAAAAAATCAATTACATGTATAAGTGGATTATGGACCCAGCTTCCTCAGTGCATTGGTGAGAAGACACTTCTCAAATAGACAGTCGATGAAATGTCATGTTTTTATTGTAAAAATGATATTTGCAAACATAGTTTTGAAATTTAGATATATGCTTGAAAATGTCAAGTCTTTAAAAAAAAGCTAGTCTAGCTTTTCACTTCTCAAAATGTTTATTTTCCCCTAAGAAACAAGGAAATTCTTTTAGAAACCAGTCAAGCATAAGACCATGACAACACCCAGCACCACCCCTTTGGACTACAGATCAGTTACTATCACCTGAAGAACACCTTGTTTTCCCTCCCTCAACACTGAGGACAAGCCCTAAAAACAGAATTAATTTTCAGCCTCTAGTGTGTTTTGAATTATTCTCCTTGTTTTTATTTTTTATTGTATTACAAAATAATTACTTTTTAAAAAACTTTTTAAATGTTTTTTTACTTTTGAGAGAAATACAGACAGGGAGTTGGGGAGGGGCAGAGAGAGAGAAGAGACACAGAATCTGAAGCAGGCTCCAGGCTCTGAGCTATCAGCACAGCTCCTGATGCAGGACTTGAACCCATGAATCGTGAGATCATGACCTGGGCTGAAGTGGACACTTAACCGACTGAGACACCCAGGCACCCCACAGAATCATAACTTCTTTGGGTAATGGTTAACAAATCTAAACACCTGCATCAACTGATATTTTATCAAATCCACAAAGTACTTCAATCTGCAGTGAATTCTTGAACTATGTAGTTGTATAAAAAGGTGTTATACTTCGGTTAGAGCCAACAAAATTTACTCCTATAATATTGTTGAATTATAGGTAGACCTGGTATATAAAATAGCTTTTCAAAGATTATAAGAGTATATACAGCAAACAAGTTGTGACTTGAAGCACCTAATTTCTTAGTCCAAATATTTGTCCCATTTTAGAGATATTGCAAAAGATCTACTTAAGTACTCACATTTTATATAATATATCTTAGATGTACTTATTAAATTACCATAAGTGAAAAAAAATATATTTTTTGGAAAAAAATATATTTAAACTAGCAACTTCATATATTCTATTTCCTCAGATAAACAGGAGACCAAATTTAATCAGGTGATGACTGTCCAGTGTGTAGATCATCCAAAAAAGTGAGCCTCTTATGCTTTTCTAATCCCCAAAGCGCAGAATATATTTATGACAGGTATTTTCTCTGAAATTTCAAAATATGGACACAGGACTTAAGTTCAGACATAATAAATAGCCCATCACGTGCAATATGATCAGGAATAACTTGGTTGTGGGATTTATGGGTCTAAATTCTAATTTCGTTATAGTATTGACTTTAAGCTATTTTTTTCCTTTAGTAGCTTTGTTTCTTACGATTAATCTTTTCAAGGCAATATTTTCATTTTCTAGCAACGAATGAACTTGAGACGTGTGAATACAGCTTAACTATACGTGAGGCAAATCCATTACATAAGACCGAATTTGATCATAATGAGAACATAAGTTACAGATGTAAAGGAAAACTAGAACAGAAACACTCAACGTGCATTAATGGAAGATGGGACCCTAAACTAAGCTGCACAGGTAAGCTCTTGTTTATAGTATTTTCAAAATCATAGTCTATTTCTTCCTAACTTTCTAAAGCAGTATTTCTGCATCTTTTTAATATTTTTAACATTTTATTATTACAAATTACTTTCAAGCTGGAAGGGAATTTAGAAAGTAACGAAAACATCATTTCTAAATATTAATTGCATCAGTGCTTTAGTCAGCTACACAACAAACCACCCAGAAACTTGATGGCCTTAAATTAACATCCGGTCAGGTATCTTTGTGAATTAGTGATTTGGTTTTTGTTGAGACTGAGGAGAGCACAAAGATGGCATCTCCCTGGTCCACGTTCCCTGAGAGCACCTCGGTGGCCTCCAGATGTGAGACAAATCTGAAGTTCGCCTCTCAAGCTAAAATTTGAAGACAAATAACTAGGCCTTTTTCCCAAAAAGCCGGGGTGTGTGTTTCAGGCTGCTGTGTAGTGCCCTGGAGGTATTGGCCCACCAAGAGTTCTGTCCCTGAATCTTCCAGGGCTGCAGGCCCCAGAAATGTGAGCCCCTCTGGGCACTAGAGCCTGGGAGTCCAGGAGTGTCCCCTCTGTGGACTGAGCCTGCTGGCCAGCTTTAGGGAGGCAGGAGAATGCGGGGCTGGGGCACGCTCACCGGCATTGATGAAGCCACAGGAGAGCGCTGGGCTGGACTGCGCCCACCGCTGCCATCTAGGTAGAGGGAACTTGTTGAAATGTCTCCTGCCATCACCCCCATCCTGGAGAGAGTCCCAACAGACGCCTGCCCCTCAAGCAGATGCTTTAAGATGAGCAAATGAATCTCCTCCTCATATGTCTAGGTGTTTCTCAGACTGTTCTTTTTCATAGGGCCCCTGGGGTTAGTGAGTCTGGGTGCAAGCTCTTTGAGAAAAGTATCCCTTTTGATGCCTTGGTGGCTCAGTCTGTTAGTCATCTGACTTCAGCTCAGGTCAGGATCTCACAGTTTGTGAGTTGGAGCCCCTGTTTGTTGAGCTCTGTGCAAGCAGCTTGGAGGCTGGAGCCTTCTTCAGATTCTGTGTCTCCCTCTCTCTCTGCCCCTCTCCCACCACACTCTCTCTGTAAAAAATAAATATTTTTCAACATTTTTTAAAGAAATGTGTCTCAGTTCTCTACAGCCCTTTGGATCTTTGGGATGTGAGCCCTGTTGGTTTTCAAAGGCAGACATTTTGGGGGCTCATCTTCCTGTTTCCGATCCCAGGGTTTGGGCTGTTAATGTGGGGAGCAAACCCCTTACTCCACAGGGAGAAGCTCTGGATCAGTGAGATGCCTCCTGAATGTGTGCAGCCCTGCCAGGGGAGGGGGCTCGTTCCAGACTGTGCCCCTGACTCTCCTGCCCATGTCAGTGTGGCCCGCTTACTGTCTGTTGTGCAGGAGCGCTTCAGCTGGTTTTCAGGTCTTTCCACTGGATATTGTTGCCCGTGTACCTGTAGATTCAGTGTGTCTGTGGGAGGAGAAGAATTCGGGATCTTTTTATTCGTTTGCCCTTACACTTGGTTTGTGCATATTGATTTTATAGTCTGACACTCTACTAAGCTGTATTTTTCTTTTAAGGTATTGTTTCGTTGATCTGTTGCAATTTTGTGTAAGCAATTATATCAATGCTACTCCAAGATTTTATTTTTGCCAATCTATTTTTTATTTTTTTATCTCATTGTACTGGTTAGGACCTCCAGTAAACTGTTGAAAGGAAGTGATGAGAAGACACATCTTTGTCCTATTCCTGACCACAGAGAGAGGATATTGGACATTGCACCACAATTATAATGTCAATTTAGGGTTTTTGTAGATGCCCTTTATCAGTTTAAGGAAACTATTCCCTCTATTCTTATTTAGCTGAGTGAGAAATTTTATGATCAACCCATGTTGGAGATTTGTAAATACATTTTAAGTATCTCTTGATAGGATAATATGGTTTTCTTAACTCTTTTAATCTAGTGAATTATATATGTAACTTTTTGAATGTTGACCAAATCTCTCATTTCTGTGTTAACACTATATTCATTTTTTCATATACTCAATTTGCTGACTTAGTTTTAGGAATTTTTGCATCTATGCTCACAGGGGATATTAATCTATACATGCATCTTCTTTCAAGGCCTCTCCCAAGTTTTGTTATCAGTATCAGTATCAGTGTGGCCTCATGAAACAAATTGACAAATATATACATATGTGTGTGTGTGTGTGTAATTACACTTATTATTTCATTATTTTTACCTTAAATGATTGACTGAATTTATGTGCTAGTCATCTGATATATCATTTGCTTTTTTGGAAGTTTTCTTGATGAAGAATTCAGTTTCTTTAATAAGTAATAAAACATTCCAATTTTCTTATTGTCTTTTGTCAATGAAAGGAAGTTGTATTTTTCAAGAAATCTCTCATTTATCTAAATGATTGGTGTACAATTGTTTCTAATATTCCTTTCAAATTCTATTTTCCTTTTAATTATATTGTTTCTTTGCTGATATCTCTTCTTTAGTTCTTAACTTTGATTCTTATTTTTCTTTTTTATCTGGATTATTCTTCCTGAATTTTTTTCCTACAACTTAATTAACATTTCCACATAACCAATTTTAACACTTGATTTTCTCCATTTATTCTCTCTTCTATTTTTTAGCCTTATTAACATTCACTATTTGTTCTATTTTCTCTTTTCTATTTGTCCTTCGCAATTTTCTCTCCTCTGTGGGATTAATTTTTTTCTTTCTAATTACTTTTATTTTCATTTTACTTTTTCTGTTTCTTAAGGTAGAAAACTAAAACTTGGATTTAGACCATCCTACTGTTAAGGATTAACTTCATTTTTCCTCCTAAAACTGTTGTAGCTGTCTCAACATTTTTATATACATTTTGTTTTCATTGAATTCTATGAAATGTTTCCTAATATTCCTTGTGGTTTCTTCTTTGACCTGTCAGTTAATGAGAATTTTCTTGCTTAATTTCCAAATATTCATTTTTTCCTAAATAAATTAATCCTCCATGAACAGCATTTTTGTGATATATTTGTTATACAAAGAACTACAAAATAAATGCAGAATAATTTTTAAAATGTAAAAATAAAATAAAATACAAATAATTAAATAAGGTGCAAAAAATACAAAGAAGCTTTTAATAAAGCATAAACAGAGGATTTGCAGAATAATGATTCTGCCTTTAGGGAGATTTAGTTGCCAAACCAGCCTATGGGAAATGTATCAAGAGGAAGTACAAATTAAGATTATTAGGACAAAATAGGTTAAACAGCACTTACAGGAGAAAAAAATCCTTGAGAATACATTGAAAAAATATGCCAAGATATTTAAATAGAAATAAGAAAAAACTTTTTATTAAATATAAAACATTCCTACATCTATCTAAAGATAGAAAATATGACAATATTAGTCAGCATCAATGATTTATTTCCGTCAACAATTTCTCTGAATTGAATACAAAATATCGGATAATTGAAAGGACTCACCAGACTTCCCAGTGTACACTCACATAAGGTCTTTAATGAAATAAACGCATAACAGGAGAAAGCAAACTCAAGGTATCACAGAGAGGTCCGAAAGCCTCCAGGTATAAGTCATCCAGAGTCTTCCCTCAGCTGAACAGGACATGCTTTGTCTTCAGATTATGAACTGCCACGATACATGTGAGGTATCTCAGCTTTATGGGAGCTTAAACTCAAGTTTGCAAAGAAATCTTATATACCTTGCTGATCATAGAACTAAAGTCAGGCTGTCTAATCCATTAAACAGGGTGCATTTCCTCAGTCTGTATATCTCTGATCAGTGTCAGCAAGCTAGTAAACAGTATCTCCAGGGAGTTTTGAACTTTAAACAACACACAATAAAACACTAGTGACCATATCTAATTCATATCTTGGCCAGGAACCTGTATCAGATAATTGATCATTAAGTACATGTAATTCTTCCTCTGGCTAATTATTTTCCATCCTACATCTTGTAAGAGTTTCAATCCAATCACAATACATTTGATTATGGATAGCTGTAAAAAGATCCTGATATCAATATTTATTTAGTGCCTGTTACTGAGTAGACAATTCAGTTAGCACATCATAATGGTTAAAATAATTAAAATAAGTTTTACATAAATTATGCGAGATTTATCACAGAAGGAATAAAAGGAGAATACTACTCATTAAGACCATGAGAATATAAACCACGTGTGATATATTAACGTGCTCTACAAGCTGAAGAGTATAACATACTTAAGCATAACATTATTATTTGATCAGTTACTACACATTATTATCGGGTTTTCTGTTTAATTTTCTTTTTAGCATTTTCAACTTACGATTTTAATCAAGAAATCTAATTTTAATATTTCTAGAAGTACAAATGCAGTCATGCCCACCTCCACCTCAGATTCCCAATGCTCAGAATATGGCAACGACAATAAATTATCGGGATGGAGAAAAGGTATCTGTTATCTGTCAAGACAATTATGTAATTCAGGATGCAGACGAACTCGTGTGCAAAGATGGAAGATGGCAGTCGATACCACACTGTGTTGGTCAGTAACGCATCACTTGCTTTATAACATTCTTTCAAATGAGGTGAAGACTCCCCTGTGCTTTGTGTAGATGAACAAGATAAGAACCTTTCTCTATGTCTATTTTACTTTATCTTCAAACAGTAAATTACATTCTAAGTATACAAATCACTCAGTATTCTTTCACTTCTAGTGGGAAATGAACAGACAAATATTTTCGATTGCTGTGTGAATACCATAGAAAATTTCTGTTTATGCCTATTTCACTCCTCATGATGAACAGGACAAGAATGAAGGTACATAGAATAAGCAGATAATAGCGTAGATTTGCTGGAGACATATAGGCTTGCAAGTGTCAAGTGTTTTTCAGTTTTTAGGTAATTTAATTTGTTTGAATTATCCTTATTTCAAATTCTCTACAAGTATTTGATTGCACTTTTAAAATTTAAATGTTGTATGCAAACTTGCCCTTTTGATCTCTGTTCTCTATACAGAAAAAACCCCATGTCCACAACCACCACAGGTAGAACATGGAGCCATCAAATCATCTAAATTTTCAGGAGAAATGGACGAAACATTGAAACCTGAGCTTTATGCACATGGCACCAAATTAAATTACGCTTGTGAGGACGGTTTCCGGATATCTGGAAGAGATGAGATAACGTGCCACATGGGAAAATGGAGTTCTCCACCTCGGTGTGTAGGTGAGGACAGAATGCAAACAACAATTCTGTGTTTGATAGAATCCATTAAACAGAATCAGTTGTCATCAAAGTCGTGAGAAAGAATCCTTTAGGTTTCTAACTATATAAACTCATTTATAGATAAATATCTAAAATCATTTATACATTTATGTACTATCCTCTTTTGGTTAATTTCATTGATTCATTATGGACTCACTTTGAATTCTGGTATTTGTTTAATGAAAACTAGATGTGTAGTGCAAATAAACCTTCCTATTCATATTCCTTTCCCATTTATACAACTTGTACTTTTTGCTTTGCCATGAGGTGTTTTTTAAAACTCTGTCTTATTTTTCCTATAATGTCATTTCTGAGTTCTTACCATACATGGTACTTAAGATGATTAATTCTCAGTGCTCTTCTTTTTATTATTCACTATTGGTTTGAGAAACACTGATGGTTTCTTTCATAAATATATTGAAATTTTTATTTTATTATTTTATTTTTTTATTATTTAAGTTTCAGTTTAAATTAGTTAACGTGCAGTGTAATATTAGTTTCACATGTAGAATATGGTGATTCAACACTTCCATACAACACCTGGTGCTCAAAGCACGTGCTTGCCTGTATCCCCATCACCTATTAAACCTATCCTCCCACCCACCTCACTTCTAGTAACCACATTGTTCTCTATAATTAAGAGTCTGTTTCCTGGTTTGCCCCCCTCTGTCTCTTTTTATCCCCTTTGCTCATAGGTTTTGTTTCTTAACTTCCACATGTAAGTGTAATCATGTTATTTGTCTTTCTCTGACTTATTTCACGTAGCATTATACTCTCTAGCTCCATCCGTGTCATTGCAAGTCACAAGATTCCATTCTTTGTATGGCTGAGTAATATTCCATTGTACATATATACCACCTCTTCTTTATCTATTCATCTACTGATGGGCACTTGGGCTGCTTCCATATCTCAGCTATTGTAAATAATGCTGCTATATACATCAGGGTACAGGTATCCCTTATGAAGTAGTATTTTTGTATACTTTGGGTAAATATCTAGTAGTGCAATTGCTGGATCATAGGGTAGTTTTATGTTTAATTTTTTGAGGAATCTCCATACTATTTCCAGAGTGGCTGCACCAGTCTACATTCCCACACCAACAGTAAAAGAGGGTTTCCCTTTCACCACATCCTGGCCAACACTTGTTTCTTGTCTGTTGATTTTAACCTATCTGGCAGGTGTAAGGTGATATTTCTTTGTAGGTTTGAATTTTATTTCCCTGATGATCAGTGATGTTGAGCATCTCTTTATGTGTCTGTTGGCTGTCTGTATGTCTTTGGATATATGTGTGTTCATGCCTTCTATCCATTTTTAATTGGATTATAAGTTTTTTGGGTATTGAGTTTCAGAAGGTCTTCACATATTTTTGTCACTAATTCTTTATCAGATATGACATTCGCAAATATCTTCTCCCTTTCTGTAGCTTGCCTTTTAGTTTTGTTGATTGTTTCCTTCACTGTGCAGAAGCATTTTATTTTGATATAGTCTCAATAGTTTATTTTTGCTTTTGGTTCCCTTGCCTCAGGAAACATATCTAGAAAGAAGTTGCTATGGCTGATAATGTATTGACATGTTTAGTTTCAAGTTGTTACTCAGGTTGCCAGCTGGATACACATCAGAATGATGGTGAGGATTTGTGCACCTTCTCCATGATATGAGTGCAGACCCTGCGTTATCATTTTTTTCAAATAAAACCGCCGAATATGGCAACCAGTACACAAAATTAAATTTCAGCTCTAGTAAAACATGGAGTCATTCTTTCTTTCTCTCTTTTTATAGGACTTTCTTGTGCGCCACCACATTTGATTCCACATGGCATTCCATCTTCCGTATCAGACAGTTACCAATATGGAGAAGAAGTAACGTACAAATGCACCAACGGTTTTGAGATTAATGGACCTGCATTTATAAAATGTTTAGGAGGAAAATGGTCTCACCCGCCAGAATGCAAAAGTATAGTATATTTAATTTTAATCTAAGATTGATAAATATCCTTAATTCAGAGCATAAATAGTACAAATAGGAAAGTAGGCAGTAAATCTAGGATCTAACAAGGTATCTCTGGAAAGCTGCGGATTCTAGTAGAGAATCAGTAGCTGTAGTAATAATAAAAGTGTGACCTCATGAGCCAAATTATTTCACTTTCATGTCACTTTGTGTGTACATGAGACCTCCTGTGATACACATCCTCAGACTCCCCATCTCTGTTCCTGTATCACAGCTGCTCCCTGCTCATCAATCTCATCTGTATTCAATGTACTGTTAGTTCCTCAGTTATCTCCTTGTAAGTATATAGGGTTTTTTTTGGGGGGAGGGGGCACATTTGACATAAATAAAGATAACAGATTTTGACAGAAGTGAAAATACAAATACATACATAATGTAGATGGGTTGTATTGGCAAAAAAGAGTTTGAATGTAAGAAGTGTGAATTTACATCTTACATGTATCCATATCTCCTCAGGCTTATGATATCCTCATTCTCATGTTACATTTTTGATAAAATGGGACTATGCAATGTAATTAGTCAAGACTTCTAATATATTTGTTCAAGGTATAAGAAAAGTTTTGCCCAGTATTCATTGGTTTGATGGGTACCTATTATTCTGTTGTATAGTTATTAGTCATTATGTGTTTTAAAATAGTTACTGAACAAATACATATTCTTTTTCTTTCAGACACAGATTGTTTTAGCTTCTGAGACTTTGGTAATGCCATACCCATGGGCCGGCAGAAGGCATTATATAGGTCAGGAGAAAAAGTGACTTATGAATGTCCACATCATTACCAATTGGACAGACGAAATACTGTATAGTATTAAAAGCCAATGGATAGGGGGGCGCCTGGGTGGCTTAGTCAGTTAAGCGTTTGACTTTCGCTTAGGTCATGATCTCGTGGTTCATGGGTTCGAGCCCCGCATCGGGCTCTGTGCTGACTGCCAGCTCAGAGCCTGGAGCCTGTTTCTGAGTTTGTGATTCCCTGTCTCAATGACCCTCCCCTGCTCACGCTGTCTCTCTCTCTCTCTCTCTCCTAGAAATAAATAAAACATTAAAAAAAAAAAAGTGAATGGATAGGAAAGCCAATATGCAGAGGTACTTCAATGATATTTTTAAATCCATTTTCCAAAATGTCTTAAGTAATACAATATAGAATCCCTTCTAACAGCACTTACAAAATGGACATAGATTATTTTTTTAGGCTAGTCAAAGAAGGTGTATGCTTTAACATAAAGGGATGAAATTGTGTACTCAGTGGTTAATCTTAAACCCAGTAGTTCTCAAACTGTGGTCTCTGGAATAGCAACATCAGCATCTTCTGGGGAATTGTTAGACATGCAAATGTAAATTCACAGGCTCCCTCAGACCTGTGGCGGCAAGAACTCTGGGGATGCAACCCTGAAACTGTCTTAACAATTCACAAGGGATTCAACATACACTCCAGTTTAGGAGCCATAGCTATAGCCTATTATATTTTACATCCACCTGAAACTCACTGGTGATTTATACATTATGCGTGAAATGTCCTTAAGCAGAGGCACCTGGAAGGCTCAGTCAGTTAAGCCTCTGACTTCAGCTCAGGTGACGATCTCAAGGTTTGTGGGTTTGAGCCCTGTGTCGGGCTCCATGCTGACACCTTGGAGCCTGGAGCCTGCTTCAGATTCTGTGTCTCCCTCTCTTTCTGCACCTCCCCCGCCCATGCTCTCTCTCTCTCAAAAATGAATAAACATTAAAAAATTTTAGAAAAGAGAAATGTCCTTAAGCATTTACAAAAAAAAAATCATTAAAGAGTGTTTTATCAATTATACATTTATTTTTCAGTTATTTTTCTGTTTGCCACTCACCTCCTGTTTGGACCCTCAGTTCATCTTCTTCCTTCAGCTATGGTATTCTTCAAAGCATGTTAATTCCTCATTTATTCTTTAAGAAAATGGCTATTGTGTTTATTTTTCTAAGGGCCTAAAATTACATTCATCAACAGGATAATAGCAAACCAAATTCTGATGTCAAATAATCTTTTTATTATGATTTCTTGTGGTTTATAAAAATCATTTTGAAAAAATATAATTTGAAATATTGATTTGACTAAACTTAAGTGGAAATGACTAGGAAAAAAAATCTCATTTTCATAGAAGCTTAAATCTTATAAAATAACATATCACTTTATTGGCTTTTCTTCAATCTTCTATGTAACTTTCTTAAAATTAGCAGTCTTTCATGACAGATTAACTGTTGATTTAAAATCCCCTTTGGGGGGGCCTGGGTGGCTCAGTCGGTTAAGCGTCTGACTTTGGCTCAGGTCATG